CCAACAGTTGTTGCCTTCTCACCAAGCTGTTTGCCTATTGTCCTGTAGCCCATCCCAGCCTTGTGCAGGTCTACAATTTTGTCCCTAGTGTCCTTAGACAGCTCTTTGGTCTTGCCCATAGTGGAGAAGTTGGAGTTTGATAGATTGAATGTGTTGACAGGTGTCTTTTAAACAGGTAACGAGTTCAAACAGGTGCAGTTAATACAGGCAATGAGTGGAGGACAGGAGGGCTTCTTGAAGACAAACTAACAGGTCTGTGAGAGCCAGAATTCTTGCTCATTGGTAGGTGATCAAATACTTATTTCATGCAATAAAATGGAAATAAATTATTTAAAAATCTAACAATGCGATTTACTGGAATTTTTTTGTAGATTATGTCTCTCACAGTTGAGGTGTACCTACGGTGAAAATTACAGAACTGTCCATTCTTTGTAAGTGGGAAAACTTGGAAAACTGGCAGTGTATCAAATACTTATTTGCCCCACTGTATGTGCTTCTTGCTATCATGTATCCCAGTACTTTGTTAGTTACTAGTTTGAGTTCGACAAAGCTGGAATTAAGAAGTAGTAGAGCCGTAGGGTGGTGTTGTCACAGCAGCCGTGCTGGACAAATCTGAGTGTTGATCTTGAACCTTAAGCAATGAGGAAGTTGTTCTTCCAGTCATAATGTGACCAGAGGACAAGCTGATGGCCTCAGCTCAGTCTGGCTCATTTTGACTTATCTGGCTTTATAAAACCAGCATTTATGATTCTGGATAAACAGTGTCATGAGGCTGGGTACCAATTAACCCTCTTAACACTGGGTTTTACCACAAAAATGAATGTGAAACTGCTGAGAATAACAAGATCTGCACGAGAGACAAACAGGTCAGTGTCTACAGAAAGAAGCCGAATGACTGTTCCACATTAACGTTTGAATTGTCTGTTTAGATCAGTTAAACTACCTGGTAATGATTAAAGATAGTGTCCTGTGTAAGGTCAGGAAAAGTTGCTGTTATAGCTAAACGATGCAGGGAGAAAGCAGAAGGTGAAGCCACACTGGCTCTACCGACAGAGGACAGTCACTGCTTACACTGCCAAGCAGCAGCTTCCTGTCCTGTTTGTTTTCCAGTGGAAAACATCAGCATGAGTTGTTTAAATAATTTGTCTGGTGGTCGTGGAGGAGATGGTCATGTGGGTCTCTGGAACCTCCTACTAGAATCTTCTTTGGTACCAACTATGGAAATGCAGTATCCACTTTCTGCATCAGGCATATTTACATTTGCTCTCATTCTTTACTTTAGTCATTTTATAGGGAGCAGGCATTGTAGCAACTGAGGAGGCTGCCTCTTCTCTGCTCTGTGTATTTGGTGAAGGCTGGAGGGGCTCAGCTTGAAGTGTGGGTACATGGTGTACTGTTGTCAGTTTATTAGGTACTGTTGGACCCGATTCTTTTCACCGTTAACTCTGAGAGACCGAGTAAGCAGTCCGAGTAACTTCAAAACAGTGCTGATTTATTCAATGAACACAGGTAAAAATTAACATTACACGCTCAGGAGTCTTTGCACCTCCAACATGCACGCAGGCAGCTGAAAGATGAAAAGCCCTCAACTATAACAGGCCTATACATTACATCACTTTGGGCTAGCCCCATACTACGCAGGGACGCCAAACCGTGACGTCTCCCGGTGCCAGCTTTGCAGCTGGCCATAGCAGTAGTCAAAGCATGAAGATAATCAATGTGTGATTGTCCGTTGATTGTGTGGTGTGTATCTAAGACATTCTGACATGACATTAAGCATAAGAAAATATTATGACTACGATTATGATTAAACACGTCATAACAATAATAATAAACCTTCTGTCTCCTAACAGTAATCAACTTTCTATCTAGTTATCCTTGAACCTGAACAACCTGGAGTACCCCATGGGAATGGGCATTTAACAGCCTGAGCTAGACATCCTGTCTATACTAAACATTTCTAATACATAAAGTGTCTAACCAATGTCTATCTGACTAAAAATATCTAACAGTATACTTGTCTCAGACTAAGTCAGTCTAATCCAACAGTAGTAAATCATGAAGGTGATACTGGAATGTTCAGTTTGTCTTCAGACTGTTTTAGACAGGTGTTCATTGTAGGGGCTGGAGTTTGTGCGGCTCTTGGACTGTACTGTGTTATACTAGCAGGTGTTTCTATTGTTTTGTCTACCCCATTTATACCAGTGAGACTAAGCTACAGACTGTAGTCACACCTCTGGACATGGGGTTTACCCTATAACAGCCTAACACTAGCCACAGATAGATGTCAGTGCACATCCTGTAGGCCAAGATGGGGCAGTCTTTCATACAATATGTGTGCTAGCTGCACATTGTTTCCCGACTTTAGCCTTTAAGAGAGTGCAGGTGGCATAAATGCATGAGTATGCTTTAAAAAATTTTGACAGAAAAAGTGTTTTGGTGAATGAGGCCTAACACTGGTAGGTGACAGTTTTGAGCTGGAGAGAGTGTAACATAAAATAATATAAGAGATGGTTACCAGGACTAGAAACATTAAAGAAATGTATTTGATTCACACTCTTTGTGTGTGTGTGTGTGTGTGTGTGTGTGTTGTCAGACTGTGCTACCTCAACACAAAACAGCAATGACAGCAGGTGGAGCGGAATCCCAGAATTCTCTGCAGACATCTTCAGGACTAGTTGTGAGCTGGAAAAGGTGCGATTCAAACTTCAGTTAAGCAGTAGAGTTACAGCTTTGTGGTAGTTTAGTACAATGTACATGTCAAAATGTAAAGATGCACCTGGTTAAATATCACAGTATCGAGTTATTAGGACTTCAGTGTTTTAAACAGATAGCTTCTGTTAACATTATCATCTTCTCATCAAAGTGAATAATAAAACACCGTCAGTGTGTTCATGGTGATGACGACGGCAGGCTGTGTCTGTATGAATTTGTGCAGGAAAATGCTCATTTCGTGGTGGTGGACATGGTGCTGGAGGTGCTTGAAGGTGTAAAATGGACTCTGAGCTTTGACCAGTGGACTTCCTCGATAGACATGCACCAACACACAGACTGCAGCAGCATGTATACACACAGTCACCCAAACTCTGCAGAGGACAGCCCGCCACACGGACACAGGCATGCACAGAACTGCAGCGCAGGTGATGGCAAACAAGAGAATAACAAGCACAAAGGAGATGAAACCACACACTCCTCTGAAGACGCACACACACACCAGTGCACACAGGATACAGAGGAGGAGGAAGCAGGAAGTGATGAAGCTGAACGTCAAATGAAAACCTTCTCTGTGCTCTCCAATGACAGTGGGTTTGAAGGTAAAATGAGTATTCTGATGTACTACCATCACTCTCCTAGAGGTGATACACACACCCGGGATAGTCACCTCTGCTTTAACACTCTACTACATATGAATACAACATTCCTGAATATCAAAGAGTGTTATGATTTCAGACTATGGAGGGGACGCTACACCGACTCCGGAGGATTCTCTCAGACAGTAAGAAAAGCAAACCACACAGAAACCACTCATGGTACATGTGTACTCACACGTGCATCCGCATGTTCTGATTCTGGGACGTCTGAGTCAGTCTGTCATGTCCCATAATGAAGTGCAGAGACTCTGGCGCAGCAGCTGGTGATGGAGTTCAGGAGGAGCTGGTTTCCTTCCCACGGGCCTCAGCGTGGACGGCAGAGCCTCCGCAGTTCACTTCAGGAGGTGAAAACACAGACAACAACCACATGTCACATATGAAAACTCCTGCTTGTATTTAGGAGACACTACAGGGACAAATGCCAAAAGAAGCCCCATAGAGAAAATGTCAGGCCACAGGTTTGTATAATATACTGATGTAAAGTGAAATATTTCAACTAAAATGAGACGATTTAACATGAAATTAGTTACAAACTGTGATGAATCTGACTGATTACTTCACTTTGCATCTAACGCAACCACCAGGTCAAAATCTGACTTTGCTTGTGTTAACATGCCCACATGGCATTGTGCACATGGCAACTTGTGTGTGCAGAGGCCAGAAGGTTAGAGAAGCAGGATGCTGATCAGTCAGGCAGGAAAACCATTTGTTTCCCCTCTGTGATTCCCCCCTTGTTTATAAAGTACTGTAACCTGCATTTCATTAAAAAAAGAAGCTAACTAAAACAAAGCATGCAGGTCAACAAGCTGCAGCTTCACACTTTGAGCTGACAGGCTCTTGTCTCTGTCGTCTTCAGCTGCCTGGTACTGGAAGTGTAGTGGTGAGCAGCGACAGCCTGGCTGAGGAGATCAGACTGAGGACCAGGATGAGAGGATCCCTGAGCTGGGCCCCGCCACGTTTCCAGATCATCTTCACTGCTCAGCCAGCACACAGGTCTTCATCTGACATTACTCACAACAGCACAGGACAATGGAAAAATTAATAAAGATGCAGCAAAACAGTGTCTGAATGTGAATGCTGACAGTCAATGGCCTGACTGTTTATGTTTCCTCCACCAGACGCAGTGACGTGGTGGCTTTGCAACACTTCCTGTGTGCAGGCTGTGGGACAAAGGTGGAGTCCAGTGAGTACTGCTTTGTGAAGATGATCCTGAACTGGTTGGTGAGGTGGCACAGAGACATTTAGATGCAAGGAAAGAAAGTGTGACTGTACAGGAGGCCGAACCAGTCTGCTGTACAAGATGTAATGACACAAAGAGAGTCAAGTCCCTCTACATGGTCAAAATGTATAAATAGATCTATAAATTATGAATTAGGATGAAAAAAAATACAATTTTCAACTGAGGGGTGCTGGAGTCAGACACACACATTTCATTACAGTGTGAAAAGAAACGTGCCTTTTACTGTCTGTTCTGCTGGAATGATGTCACTACTGTCTGTATTACACCTTGTACTGAAGGAAAAACTGGGTGAATATATCCTCCATAAGAATCATTACTGACTGCAGCCATCGTGGTCAACAAATAGCACAACAATATTCATCAGAAGTACAAGCAAGTTAAATGTCTGATTCTCTCTGCACAGGGTACATCAAGAAACTGCGGTATTGTCATTACCTTGGCAGGTATGTAAAATAATCTATCAGGATATTAAAATCTGATTTCTCCCTGAACATTCAAATAGTGCAGTGTTGGTGAAACTACAGTAACCAGCTTGTTTTCTTCTGTGATGCTTGTAATCTTCAACAGAAGGTTTTTTTTTAGTTATAAAATAAATTAAATCCAGTTATTGAACTGTGATTCTTAGTTAAGTCTGATTGATTTGACAGGTATTTCTGTGACTGCTGCCACAGCGGCTCGGAGTCTGTGATTCCTGGTCGAGTTCTGTCCTGCTGGGACTTTGGCAGGTAATAGAAACACAAACTATAGTCTACTACTAATAGAAATGACAATAATAGTAACTAGAGTTGTCACAACATTGATTGGTCAGTCAACAGAAGATGAACTGGCATTACCTTTGATAATGAATTTATTAATTATTTTTATTTAGAAAAACAATCCAATTGCCTCGTTCCAGTTTCTCAAATGTGGATGTTTGGGTTTCTTTTCATAACTTTTTGTCTTCTGCAATTGAAAAACATTTATGTCTTGTTGTTAGCTGATAGACAGAAAATGGCCACAGTGATACAAAGTTGTGCCAAGTTGGGACATAAATGTGACCACAGATACATAAAATGACCCAAAAAAGCAAATTAATGACAAAAAGAGAGAAACTTTAAGTGTGGGTGTCCAGACAGAGAGAATATACAACTTATAAGCTCCAACTCAAACTCAACCATGCTCAGATGATCCAAACAGGCAGAACTGGGGCTCAGGTCAGTAAAGGGTCAGAAATAGACACTGAGCAGGAACAGGTGAGTTGGCTGTTGAGTCTCTAGAGGGACTAGTTTGACTGACAAAGGCTGGTGACTGGCTTTTATACTGGCCAGATGATTACACTGTGACAGGGGCTGGAAAGGGAAGTGGAAGTGTACCAAAATAAAAGCCTCTTATAAGGAAATGCGGTGAATCATGACACTGTAGGAAGGGAGGGGCCTTTCACGTGTGTGTACCCAGGGGCCTGGTTTCTCATAATGCGTCAGTAATAATAATGATAATAATAATAAATATCATCTTAAAGCATATACACATGGAGAGTTATAAAAATATTTCAGCATTACTTATTAATTATGCTAAAATAATAATTAGGTATTAATGACAAACAAAGCCTGAATAATGATAATAAAAGTATTGATGCCAATATTGTTAAATTCTAAGACACAGATTAATACTACTGCTGCTTTCAATTTAATTAAATCACTATTACTGATATGACAGAGTTCAATAAGCTCCCAAATACCTGGGCAGCTCAGCTCAGTGGGAAAAGACACAAGGACAGATTTACACTTTGATCAGATTTGTTCTAACAGCACAAATCCTGCAGGTACCCTGTTAGTGATTTCTCCAAACAACTGCTGGAGTCGGTCTGGCATCAGCCTCTGTTTGACTTGACCTGCGTTGGGAAGACGCTCTACAGCCGAGTGAAAGAGCTCAACAAGTTCAGGGTGAGTTAACAGTCAGGTTTTTGGACAAACCCAGCTGAACGGTATTGATCATTATGTTTGTCTTCATGTTACAAAACACCATTTTATAGCCATGACTTGTTGTAGTTTGTGTATTTGGTCATGTAACTTGTCATTGTTTCTATTTACTTTCCCTTCTTCCTTCTGTCTGTTATTTGCTTCCTTCCTACTCCTCCAACTTCCCTCCAGGAGCTGCAAGAACAGCTGCAGAACATCAAGAAGCTGCTGAAAGCCTGCAGGTTATCAGGAAGGTACACAGAACATTCTTACACTGTGTGAACATGATTTGATTTGATTTGATTTATTCTTTCAAGCATGTAAAGACAGTTGATATGACAACACACATAATGTTACACATAATCCAATATCAATTTGCTTATACCTAGTACATGCTTGAATGGAGTAGGAAGAAGTCAGACTTATCCAGTCCTACCCCATGACATCATCTTACAATCACTGGTTTGCAAGCAGTAAAA